GTCACTGGGACTGAGAGCTGACTCCTACTCGCTCCAGCTCTGAGGCCATGGCCTGCTGAAAGCAGGTATCTGGGGTTTGTTTAGCTTCTATAATTGAAACTTTGTTGCTTTCAGAGCTCAGAGCCGGGCCGCGGCAGCTGGGGAACCTTGGCTTCCTCCATCACTGGAGCAAGCAAGCCTCCTGCTCGCTTCAGCTTCGTGGCTGCTGGCCGCCACCTTTGTTGGCAGTTAATTTGCATATCGCCCTGATTAGCCAATGGGAAGCGTAGCGAAGGTACAGTCAATTACCCTTTTGTCTTTTATTAGATAGGATAAGGCAAGAAGAGAGCCTTTACAATAAAATAAAACATAACTGGACTTTGAAATGGGGAGGAACATGGAAAAAGTATGAAGATAATGCACAATTTTGCATAAAATAGATTCATTTCTTCAACTAAAGCCTAAAGTCCTAAAGAAGCAATGATTGGTCTTTTGAAGTTTCAGGATGCCTTCCTCCCTAAATACTATAGCTGGGGATGTGTCCTGTGTGAATTTCTTCATGTTTGTGCCAATTGAGCAGCATTTTACTTTGGGATAAAAACAACTCTGGTATCAGTAAAAATGTATTAACATTAACCTTCACCAATTAGTAGAATTTTCCCAGGTATTATGATTTTTTTTTTTAGTGACATAAGAGTACTAACAGTATCTTATAATAGGTGGGCATGTTTTAATTGCAATGGCTTAAAAAACCATTTTTTTAAGTGCATCTTTAAATGTGACACCACATCACACCGACTGACCTAAATCATGTCCTCTGGATGCCACTAAGCTGAGCAAATACCCTGAAACTGAAAAGGAAAACAAAGGGGCCCTCGAGGTTTAGGACAAAGGGAGTGTGTGAACATGGGCACAGAGAAACCTAATGAATACGACAAGCCCACTTGACCACTCTGGCATATGATGGGACTTACACCCATTCAAGCAAACACTGTTAAATAAATAGAAAATCACTGCACTTACTATGCGGTCTTGCATGAATATTTTTTCAGAAGGCACAACCCGGCCAGTCAGTGACATCTGGGATCCAAAGTGCAGCCCCCAGGTCTCCAGCTCAAAGCGAGCATCATTGTTTCTGTTGATAGAGTTGAGTCTTACGTCATTCAAGTGCTTATTTTCTAAAGAATTTAGTAATTAGAGGCAGAACTGTAACTTCCCGAATTATCCAGAGACTGATTTTTTGTTTGTTTGTTTTAGGATTCCCGACTTATTTCTAATCACTAATGGTTTTTCTCCTGCTCAAGAGAATCACGGGGCCACTGTGCCCATAGGGACTGGCAAGGCTGGGAAAGGCTTCCAGGGCAGCATGTTGCTTAGCAAAATGGACCTCTGAGTCAGACGACTAGGGCTTAACTCCCAGTGCTAACATTTCATGATATGTGACCTTGAGCAAACTCTTAACACTTTTTTAAAGATTTATTTTTTATTTTTAGAGAGAGAGCAAGGGAGATCAGCCCAGCTAGTATAGCATGATGGTTGAGCGTCCACCTATGAACCAGGAGGTCACAGTTTGATTCCCAGTCAGGGCACATGCCTGGGTTGTGGGCTCGGTCCCCATATGGGGCATGCAGGAGGCAGCTGATCAATGATTCTCTCTCATCATTAATGTTTCTCTCTCTCTCCCTCCCCCTTCTGCTCAGAAATCAATAAAAATATTTTTGAAACATCATTCTACAACAATGTTGCCCAGTACAAATAAAAAGCAAGCCACATATTTCATTTTAAATTTTCCAGTAGCTGCACTAAAAAAGTAAAAATTAACAGGTAAAATTACTTATATAGGGTGCCCCAAAACTCACGCAAGATTTGCAATTGAATTGAATTGCAAATCTTGCGTGAGTTTTGGGACACCCTGTATACATATATATTATTTAACCCAATGTAGCCAAAATGCAACCTTTCCAAGATGTGGCATTAACCACATTTTAAGTGCCCGATAGTTATGTGAGGCTACAGTGCTAGACAGGGAAGTTTTAGGAGGCCAGCAGAGAGAACCAGGGAGCAGCTCAATTTTCCCATCACAGGTTACAGCTCATTGTCACAA